CTTTCCTCTTTCTAAGCCGAACTCACGTTGGTCAAACATGGCCGAACTCATGGAAAACAAGCGTCTAGAGACATGAAATCATGGTCGAATATTTTTGCGAAGAGATTGCTCACCCAAACACTCCATGTATGGCATGTATGCCTACATTGACCCCCAAAACCACCCCAATGTAGGCATATATGGCAGTCCCATTAGTTGTGTCTGGCTCATACAAATTGCCCTATCGCAAGTGTGCCCAAGAAGAAAAAACACCGTATACAAGCTTCTTGCCGTATCGGGGTGTTTCTCGGGGTCGCAAAAAAATCCAAGGACAGAACCTTCAGCAATAATCAGTTGGAACAAGTTGGAACATGCGTACTAACTCATGGCAAGTGTCATAAACACACCCCATGTCTGGACACGGCGCGTAGGAGCGTTGTCTTCACGCCCACCGCTTTGTTCAAGGACAGGCTCGGAGCCTGTTGCAGCGGAAATCATTGTGAGATACTGACTCTCTCAGTTTCACTGGACTATTGAGGTTAACAAGGTTAACCTTAAGCAATCCCCCCCAGAATGGTTATAGAATCTATAGTGACCCACTTTCCGTAGAATAAGGCTTGTGGAGTCGTATCCGGCTTTTGAGGGCCTCATTTTGCTTCGCATCTGGCATAACTTGACCATACTGTTCCAGGACTGGAGATCTTTGACGGTTCATTCGAAGGACTTCTATTTGACCAAAACATGTTTTCACCAAAATCGAATCCTGCCCATCATCTGCTATTGCTCCTGGCCAAAGCTGCAAAGTCTCTGACTCCACCGTTCCAGTGACACCATATGAGAATAGACTCTATTTATCATGATAAGATCGACATCTATGGAACCTTGTGGAGTACCACAGCTTTACACATCTCAAACATCCCCCAAACCCATGATAACCCATGTATGTGTCTCGCCCTTCCCCAATCAAGCTACTCTGGCTAGTAGTTCAGGGAAAAGTGTCCAAAACAAATCCCTGCAGGCTCCTGGAGCCAGTGCAACAAAAGTCGCCTCCGCTAACATCAAACAGCCCGGTCGACCGCGCTCGGACACACCCGCTTCGCGGATCCCCGTGGTCGGGCCACTTCGCTGCTCGATCCGGCTTCGTTCGGAGCCACGGCACGAACCGGAAGCCAAAAATAGCGACCGAAACGGTCGGCCCAGAAAGGGCACCGTTGACAAAGCTCAGAACCTCTGAACGCGGCGATTTTTTTTTTTGCACACGTATACCATATACAGAAATCCCAAAAGGTCGGAGCTGGAGTGGAACCCAAAGATTCTAGAGTAGATGGCACAAACTCCAAAATGTCTTTTATACAAAGGGGATTACAACCACCGTTTGGGGATTGTGCCATCTAATTAGTCAGAATTCACTATAAACATCCAGGATCCTCAAACACTATCAGGACCCTTGTGATATGCTGGGGTGAAGCCTCATCACCATGATCTGGATTTGGCACTGCTCCGAGCAAAATCTTCCTTCGGAACCTGAGCTCCGCAAAAGTGCACTGCTTCAGCATTTGGCTACGCCAGGCTCTGCCAAAAAATCTTGGACTGGCATTCACCCCGGCGAGTCGGCGCAGAACCCGTTTGGACGCAGAAGAATACACCGCGCTCCGACGAAAACGATGTCCAAGGGGTTGGGCAAAACATGGAAATGCTTGGGCAATTTGGATTGGACATCTGGACGGACCAATTCATCTACAGTCAACCAATCTTTCATGCACTCGGTGTCGCCAGCCCAGTCTAGATGAGGAATGGTCACACTTCTTGGAGGCTCATGTGGAGCCAAGGTCTGGCAGGTTCAGTTTGGAGCTCAATTGAAACCAGCCCACATGGAGCTCAATTGAAACCAGCCCATTTGGAGCTCAATTGAAACCAGCCCACATGGAGGGCAGCAGTCAACTAGTGTCACTCTGGACTCTTGGAATCTTGCCCGCCTGGATCAAAAACCTCTTGTCTGTGGTGGGCATGTGACATATGAGTTAGCGTCAAAAATATATGCTTGGAGTGTTTTCGTTTCACTTTTGTCAGTCCCCTATCGTTTTCCATGGTTTTGGATTTTGCAAGTATGTATACATAGGGGTATCGTTTTTTGTCAGTCCCCTATCGTTGTTCAAGGAAAATCACGAAAGCAACACAGAGATGAAACGTCCCTTACTAAAGTGGTTGATGATAATTTTGAGGTTGCCTCATATACCTATCCGACCTATCCTTTCGGGAGGTATGATTGTTGGGCGCCTTTGGGACAAGCGCAGTTCTACAGCGGCGACCACAAAACCCTATATGAACCCCAGGCCAGGCTTCGGTTTATGTGATTTGGGCGTGTTGGTCTCGAGTACATGTGAGAAACTTGCAAAAACCCTCACTTGTTTCAGACCACTTTTAAACATCTAATATATACAATGTATATTTGTTAGTGTTGACCTTTAAAAACTGAATAGATATAATTACTAAGTGTTGACTTTTAATGTATTACAAAGTGTTGACATTTCATTGGGGGACATCTACGTTCCAGGAGAAACTCAGCCTTTAGGCCTGATTAGGGCTGCAATTTGCTCCCACCAGGGTCCTCAAGTAAGGTTTGGAAGTGCATATCGGCAGATCGGATACTTGGAACCCCAGGTCAAAAGTCTTCCGAAGCTAAAACCCCGATTATACCCCTACCCCTCAGTCCCTCCGGACCGGACGAACATTCCACCGGACCGGTGCCTCAAGCGAAAGTGACCAAACCGCAGCAGCAACTAAGCACTAAATGAAACACTGAAAATCGAACCATCTTCCGCTTCTCGGTCCGCTGGTCAATACCATGGTCCATAGGTGGGTCACATGCACCTTCCACCTGTGCACTGCGGCACTGCTATCGATCTTGCACACCAAGTTGCACGGTACTAAGGTGTTGGCACGCTTTGATCATTGGGTGGCTTGCACAGCGTTTTTGTTACAGGCGGTGTTGATTTTTCTAGGCCCATGTGTTTCCCAAATGAATCCTTATGTAAACCCAGATGGCTCCCAATCAACCTCTGGAAAACTCCTGAGAAAACCCTGAGGAAGCTGGCAAAATCCCAATGAACATATTCATCACTTTTCTTTTCTTGCTCCATCTAAACAAAAGCTTTCAGCCATTGCAGGCAAACTCTCCAAAGATTTTGGTGGTGGTGGTGTGGGTTTGGTTTGGGTATTTTGTGGAAACTGTTTGGAATTTCATTGGGTGTTCTTTTGTTTTTAATGGGCCTGATGATTTCCCACACCAATCCCATCAAAACCCCAGGCCACCCTATACCAACCCCAACCAAATCCCAGACCAATCCCAAAAATGGGCTGAGGCCAAAGACTAAAATCCCTATTGAATCAGAATTCACCCCAACCAAATCCCAACCCAATCCCAAAAATGGACTGAGGCCAAGCAATAAAATCCCTATTGAATCATAATTCACAATGATTCCATTATAGTTGTTTAACGCTTTTTCCTGGGATTCTATGGTGTTTCAATAGGATTTTTGTAGATAATTTTTTCTGCCAAGAAAACCTCCAACAATAACCACCCATAAGCCATTCTAGGATTTGATGTGGACAAAAGCTGAGCTAGAGGTAGTAAACATGTTTGCAAAGTCTAGCCTCGTGGTTGTCATCTGTACATTGATATCCGTATATATATATATATATTATATATATGTATACCCTCAACTTCAAACGTCTCTAGTAAACTTGTGCTTTTACCCACGTCGAAGTTTACTCAAGACATTTCGTCTCGCCTAAGTTTACCCTGTGCTCAGTTTGGCTGTTTCTTAACCCGTTTAAATAAACCTTTCAAAATCAGTCCAGGACCTTAGTTTCAACAATACTATTTCAGAAACTCAGAGATGAGACATAAAATCTCAGAGACGTACTCAGTCAGTTGCATTTCATCAGCCTCGACTTTGGTGTTTGTCTGGTGTGCCACCCCAAACCTCTTCAATACTCTACATGTAATGTCAAAAATGATGACACATGTCACCAAACACAAAAACATGAAACATGGTCCAATTTCACGGGTAAACTTGTGCATTCACGGGTAAACTTGTGCATTCACGGGTAAACTTGTGCATTCACGCTACTTCACGCCTATTTCACGCTATTTCACGCTACCCCTTTTTTTCATGTGTCCAAGTGCTCCATGATTTTCAATGAGATCTTCATAAAGCCTCACCCTTTCCGGTGTGGGTATGACAATATATTCTTTCAGTCAAGTGAAATCTCAGATATTAGATCATAAAAGTTCTCATTTTCGACATAAGACATGTATTGATCCCAACATGTCTGAAACGACATCCACAAAATTGTGGTTATTCCACCACAGATCTACTTTGATACATTCACGCTTGGTTAAACTTGTGCATAGCAGAACGTACAAGTTTACTTGGTTAAACTTGTGCATCGATAACGTCCAAGTTAAACTTACCCGTTGAAGCCTAGGGTATATATATATTATATATTTTAAGTATATGATAGTACATGTAGAAAACCATAGAAAACTATATACTGTATAGATATACACCTTGATTTCATTTTCTAGGGCTAGCTGCCTGCAGTCCTGCAGTCTGGTCTTACAAAGGTGAAGTTTTTGTATAAAATAGAGCATACATGTTTCTCCTATTTGTACTATTTGGATTCTGGATGCACACATCTGCGGTTCCACTCAGAAGGAAAACAGCTTAGGGGTGCGATGGTCAATGACAGAACTGGTCAAAAAAGACAGGTCCATCAAAAACCCAGTCACCCAGTTGCTTCATGTTGCTTCAATGAGTCCCTTTGAGGCAAACCTGAAAGCAACAGGCTTAGAAAGGCGAGGCACCTCGAAAACACGAGGATTTTACAAGTTGATGTTCAACAAGGTGGTTTCTAAGCAGAACAATGGCACCAATTCGACCAAATACGTCTGACAAAATGTCGCTAAATTGCTCCAACTAAAGGCTTCAGATTTCATCAGCTCTCGCTACATTTGGGTCATTTCCCCCGCCCTAAGCGGGTCCTTCCATTTTGAGCACTTCGGACAGGGATGCGGAGCTTCGGACGTGCGGCCGGACGCTGGCGCGTGAGGCCCGACGCTTAGGTCGACGCTTGCGCCGTGGGAACCTCCGTCGGTGGTGCCACTGTCACAGCCGGACCTGAGGTGCGGGTCGATGGCCCCGGTGGCCGTGGTGTCACGGGTTCTATAGAAACCATTTGAACACCTGAATTTAGGCAAACATGGAAAAACATGTTGGGATGTTTTGGGCGGTTGGTGCTTATTCTTGGCCACTTATAGATCGGCTTCGGAACCCACATGGCTTAACGGTCTCCGGTGGAACACAGACGAGAAGCGCCGATCGCGCCGCCTTTCCGGGTCGATGCAGGAGGGTGAGAAGGAGGACCAGGTCGGCCATGCCATGAAATGAGTTGGAGAAGGGGCCAGAAATTTGTCTTACTATGAACATCCCTAAAGGAACAGGATTCCGAATTACTATGTCATAGCTATGAAGCGGCCATCCTTATGTCTTATTCATCCCATAAATTTGCTCATGTTGACAAGCCACTTCAGATGTAAATAAGACATGATAATGCCCCCTTGCAACGAACAGGATTCTTCCCGAACTTCCAGAAGCAAACATGGAAACAATTGCAACTATAGTGGGTGTGTCGGTGTGTCGCCTGAATTATTCCTCCCAGGGGTCTGCACGGTCTCCCTATCGTAGCACACCGGAAAGAAAACGACTCAGCCAGTGCCTCGGTGTGACGGCCGTGGAGACCTCATGCAGGTCTCGTACGTGCGCGGGTGAAATCGGGGCCGAAGCACATCACACACTGCAGGAAATACTGGAACACACGGGACAAGCAGGGCGAACAAGCAGGTCAACACATGCGCGGCTGTTTTCCGGAACTGGGTGGGTCGGAAGATGCCTGTTCCTGGGCACCGACTTCGTGAAGGATGCTCATGGGGTGGCCATCCACGGAGCAAAATGGGTTGCGGCCGTAGCCCGTATCTCTGAGCCTAGTTGACGGTCTAGCCTCCGGCCACTTTGGAGCATTGAAGGTGAGAACAAGAGGGGCCGTGGGGTCCTGGGAAACAGGGTGCTTTCCACTCCTATGTTAGTCAGTCGGAGTGCACTTGTGACATGCTTTCAATTTGTCAAATTCTGTTATTCCTGGAGGTAGGCCACCACAAGCTTGCAGCCCAAGCAGTGATTGCGGCAAGAGCTTGCCGGAAACCATCACCACCTCCAAGCTCCCCACCCATGTCCGTTCTTGTTTGAGATCAACGCCACTCTCCACTAAACTATGATGTCTTGTAAAAAGTAACCTTGTCTCGTAAGCGCCGCGATAACAACACCGGCAACGGCGACATCATCATCACCAGCATCAAGACTGTCTTTCCCGAGACAAACCAAGTACAGTATAAGGAAGGTGAGTAGGTTTGGAGAGTCCAGTCGAAGCTTCTGAAAAAGGTGCTAAAAATCCAAAGAGTTAAGAGTTGGTCCTATTTGGTTACTCTTAACCACCTCCCCCTGACAGGTCTCGCTCTCCACTGCGAGGGACGGCAGCATTCCACCAGTGCGATGTACCACTTCCTCAGGCCAGGAAGTACGGCGGCAGGTGAGGCGCATCCCGTTGCGGTCGAGCAGGCCTTTTTGCGGTCGAGAAGGTCCGGGAAGTTTTGGCCAGATTCATTGGTTCTTCCAAGATCTTCCAAGGTCAAGTGACCTAACTTGATATCCCTTGATCTCCTCCTCGGTCACTGAAAAGGCCTGGAGCAGTTCGGTCACTTATCTAAATCACCCAGAGAGGTGGAAGTAAGTCACCAGATATATAGGACCCGGAGAACCTGGGGTACTCTGTCCTGGCAGGACGTGCATTGTTCGGCTCCTGACAAGCCTCTGTTGCCAAGGTCTATAAGGTCAAGTCCAAAGGAAAGTGGACCCACTGGGTCTTTCAGGAAAGTGATACACCAAGTCCCCAAGTGGAGGCGGTCTGTCAGCTGGTTTAGCTAGTTGGTTGAGCTGTGACACTAGTTGGGCAGGAGTTTTTGAGGAATTTGGAGGCCCAAATCGTTTGCAGAGTGCTCAAGAACGGTGTCTTTGTTTTTGGGCTGCCGAAAAACGGGTGGATGGTGGCACGAACCTCACAGCAAACTGAGATGTAATTACCTTCAGGATATTTGGAGCTCAAACATCCAAGATCTCAACATCCGCACCAACCAACTGCCGGCACCCTGCAGCCGTCCGCGACAGCGGACCAGCCACGGAGGCAGAAGAAAGGCACGGCGTCCGACCAAAGGCCGCGCCGAGGCACGGTCAAACACCTCTGCAAGTAGGACACTTCCCGTAACACCTGGAGACCGTGCGAATGGACGAATGGCGCGGCCCGGAGGCGAAGGCCGGACCTGCGAGAGAGACCTGGAGACCCACTGGACCCGGTCGGTCCGGGAATCCCGACCATGAGGCTGAAAGAATTGCGGATTCCGAAGAGTTGATCAGTTGATCACAGTGAAGCATCTCTGTCGGAGAACATGGACCCTTCGTCCAGGGGTCGTCGCCAGAGGCAACCCCGAAGCAAACCGAAGCAACTGCTACATGTTTCAGGTCCAAAAGTAGACCAATCAGTTCACCTCTCCGCGACCCGACGCCGCAGATCGACCCGTCCGAGTGGCCATGTTCGTTTGCCGCTGGACGATGCGCCGGATATCCTCGGCAGCGAGCGGAGCGGCCGGGACGACGGGGCGCCAAGTGAAGTCCAGCCGCTGGTTTCGAAGAGCGAACCTTGTTACTAGTAGTACGGCCAGGAGCCCCTAGTATATATATATATATTATGTATATTGTTGCTCCGTTCGTAGCGATGCCCTTGGCCCATTGGCAATGTTCGTAGCGTCCTCTTGTTCCTCTACCCCGCGGTGGAAACATCTGGACACTTGGCTCCTGAATGTCTTCCTCGTGGAAGGAGGCGGCTGTGTAACTCTAGCACCACGCTTCCTCCAAAAGCATTCCAGTGGAACTAGATTGCGTGGTGCTAGAGTCTCAAAGCCACCTTCCTTGAGGAGGACATCATGATCATGAGGAGATGGAACGATTTCCCTCGGCACTTCCCAAAGCATTTCAGTGGAACTTCCCAATTCTCTAGCATCAGCTACGTCCACGCGCCTGATGCGGTGTCAATGATGCGGCGCATTCCTGACTCCCTAACCGAACTGGAAAATAGAGGTTCACCACAATCTCAAAAAAACGGTGTTGTAGGTGGCCACTGTTTCCTTGCTAGGACCCATGCCTTTCAAAAGCACACATGAGGGCGGAATCAATCACTGCAAAGGCCTTAGAGGTTGCATCCCTCCCTGGCGGATGCGGTTTTAGCTTTTCACGCAACATCTGAGCAACGCAGCCAGTCCCAGCCCGTTCCCTCGCCGAGCATCACAACGCACATCAATGATGTCCTGGCGGAGAGTCGCCAGTGGAGTCAGTGCGCTGTGGCTAGAGTATTCTCCCTAGGGCTCCAACTACCTCCGTTTCAAAGGTGGTTGGGGTGGGTGTTAGGGGGGTCTAACATGGTCTAACCATCTTCTGAGGGTATGGTTGGAGGAGTTGGCAATCCCCTGAGTTCGCACGCTCGAGCATAGATGGAATTGGCAAACATGAAAAAACACTCAACGTCAAACCCTCTGAAGTACGACTGGAGCCCCCAAAAGGGCTTCAACTTCGAAGTGACCTCTTTGGAGTCTCTGAGTGACCTTGTACAGATCTAAGTGACCTCATCCTGGGATATCAAGGGGTCACTTTGAAGGTCCTGGAAACTAAAAAATACTAAAAACATCATCGACCAACTAAGCCATGGAAGTGGATGGCACCACCCAAATTCCAAACATCCACCAGCAGCTCGGCACGAGCTCGGGAGGCTACTACTGCTCAGCCTGATTGGAGATGGTGCGCCCGCCGCGGATCTTCAGGATGACCTCTAACAGCTCTTCTCCTCGAGCCGGAGATGAACTTCTCCGCTGAAAGGGAGGAAATGCGTGAGAAGGTGCCCGCATGCCCCCAGTCCGCGAAGGTGAAAAAAGGGGTGTCCTAGCGGATGTGGATGAAACATGATGAATCATTCCCTAGGGATCCTCTCAAAACCCACATAAGAGTGTCTCCAATCACCTTCTGAGAAGGTATTTGGATCCCTAGGGATTCTGAAATATCAAGCGTATCAAGATGAATGATAAATCATCGTGTTGCGGCAGTTGTGGAAGTCATGATGCGGTCACCATCATGGGCTTCACAGCCATCAAACTGAATGGATTTGATTTGGGGTTTATTGGATCTAAGAACACCCAAATTATGTGGTTCCTAGAGTCCATTTGACCACTATTGTGATGAGAAAAGGCCATACATTTGGATAGCTGATCCTCCAAAACAGGGGTCACTCAGATTCAGGGTCTAGATATTATACCTCTTCTAGAATGCCATGTCAGGTCATGTCAAGCTGGCAGGCCTTAGTGCAACTGAGCCTCTGGTCACTTCCTGTTCACGCCCTGCATCTTCATCTTGCTCAAAAAGGTATTCCTCAGTGAAGATGCCATTTCACACACACACACACGAACAGCTGGAACAGCTCAAGCAGCTGGTCAGACGAGTCCAAGAATCTGCACCAAGATTCTACCCTGCTGGCCTCGCAAGTCAGAGTTGGAAGCACTGGGCTTCCAAAACAAAAACAAACACCCAGGAGTCACAAAGGGGTGGTGTTTAGTCCCCAAGTGAGTGGAGTAGCTGGGCATCCCTAACCTCCATGGATCGCACCCCTGACCTCTGACTGCTGGACACGAACCATTTTCATGAAAACCTCGCTGTGGCGAGCTGAGACGGGACCATGGCAGAAAATGGTGGCATCTGACCTTAACTGGTCCAACCAAGGGGACATGACATACAGTATATGTTTAGTGAATGAAGTTGGGTATACTATATTTGAACAGAAGCGCTTGGAATGGCGTGTGGAGCATATTCCTTGTGTAGCGACATGTCCAAAATGGTCCCTCTGCCATCGTGGCACCAAATCCTCCCTCCTCTGGACCGGGACCTTCAGTTCGTGACCTCTTGGGAGTCTCTAAGTGACCTTGTACAGACCTTAAGTGACCTCATCCTGGGATATTAAGTTCGGTCACTTTGAAGGTGCTGGAACCTAATCAAGCAACCGTGGCTGTGCGCCCCCAAAACCGGTTGGCCTGCAAACTGCAGCAGAATCGGCTCGCAAGGACCCACACTTCGCCACACCCTCGACTGTGCTCAGTGCTCGTGCGAAAATCACACCCATAACATCTCAGGTACTTGGTGCTATTTTCAAGCCGGAGTAGTCCCAGGCTGTTCTACTTTCAACATCGATACTCCTTGCTACCACAACACACCGACCGCACCGCACACGCGTTTCGGATATCCTCGGGCGCCGGACGGTTAAATCGATGACATCTTCCGGTTTCACCTGGCCGTGTCGCCAGACCATGCATCGGGACTGCGCAATCAACAGCTCCGAAGAACCTCCATGCGAGATTGTATACCGAACCTCAGAAGGTACGACTGGACCCTCGAAGCCTACGTAAAGGTGTCTCCAATCACCCGCAAAGGGTGGCAGTGGATCCATAGGAACTTGCTACCAAAACAGGAGATTACACTTGACCAATCGACATCCGATCTTATGACCGTGTTGATGCAAGAACAAGGCTGTTCAGGCTGTTGGTATTCCCAAACCCGGGCACTCACGTCACTCAACAAGGACAAGCAAAATTAAACTATATATATAATATCTGACCTATGATGAGTGATCCACAATCCCAGAATCCCAATATGTACATACCGTACCCGTACCCCATAAAATTTCTATATCATATCCCGACCATTCCTCTCTTGGGGGTGCAACACCCTGGATCCAAGTACCTGTTCAGAAGGTGTTTGGAACTTCTAAGCCCACAAAAAAAGACATAAATGGTCTCTCCAATCACCCTCTCAGAAGGTCTATCTGGACCCAAGACCCAATGGAGTCCACCCGAGCTGGACCCCAACACCCCGTGCCGGTCGCCGCTCCGTGGACAGTCTGCCGCTCCACCGGTCGCCTGAAGCTCTGAAAGAACGACCTTGGCCTTCTCATCTTCGACCACGCTCTGTAACTCCTCAGCTCGCCGGCGGGGGTGCGGGCACTGCAACAGAGCAACCGGTGCACGGATGCAATGGACGCATTGCGCATTGCGACCATTGGGCATCCATCATTGGGCATGCGGAATACTATACACACATAACAAAATCCCATCCGGATCGTGGTGTGACTTGTTTCCAAGCGACATGCACACTGCTGCTACCCACGAGGCAAGCGACCACTCGCTTGGGTGTCCCAAGGCCACAGCCTCGTGGTTGGGTCCGTTCCATGCATCCCAGTTCCCCCTGAGGAGCTCCAAAAAGAAGGAATCTTTCAGGGGCAAATGGGTGGCAAATCCTGGTACACTGGTGAAAAGGAAAGCACCAACTCCCAAATCCAAAGGAACTTCTGCCAGGGCTTCAGTTTCCCTCCAACATCACCCCGCGATGTATGCTTGTTGATGAAACCATTGAGCCTGACCATTAAAACCTAACCACAGGAGCTGAACATCCAAAACCCAAACCCTAACGCAAATTGAGCATTACTAGGCCACCGCCCTGCCACAGATCTGCGGAAGAAGATCCGACTTGGAGATGTTTTCATTCTTGTCCTGGAAGCGGGGAGACGGGTGAGGTTTGGAAGATTGATCTTTGCAAACCACATGATTAAAACAAAAAACACACACAACAATATAAACTACTGTAACCAGAAATTGGAAAAAGCTTTCCAAATAGAGGTTGACATCTAAAAATTTGACACCACCAACCAAATGAGGTTTAAAACAAGGGTCACATCGGCAAACTGACGCACGAAACCCTCCGGTGGCCAGCCGCGAAAGGGCTCGTTCCCCACTCGGGTCAACACGATCGTTGAAGATCTGCATGGCTAGAAGGACTGATTGGGCTTAAATATATCTGCAACCTACGAGCGATGGCCCCGATGGCCTTCAACCTAATAGCGATGGTCCCTTGAATCATCCCGTCTATCAAAAACAGCTCACCGAAGAAAAAAAACAGGGACCAACGAGCGGCTCGCTCAGCCGTCCTAAGGAAAGGTCGCGGCTGTAATCCACTCTTTTTTCTAAAGGCCATCCCTGAGCCAATGCACACCCTAGAGTCTCCAACCTGTCAGAGAAAGGACCTTCTGCATCTCTACGCCGCCAAGACACATTCATACAAATAAATACTATTCAAACAAGTGATGATTCCAGGTACACTCTGACTCACGAACATGGAAGTGGAAAATGGTCTGCAAACCCATTGTCCTTTACAAACACAGGGGTTTTCCACTTCCAATGTGACTGAATCAGAGTGCCAGCGCATCATCCAAGCGCCTGGTGACTACGCTCTTGTCCCCCCCGGTTTGGTGCCGCGCCGGGGTTCGGTGCCGGCGGCGTGCGTCCTGATCCAAGTCGGTCAACATGGTCCGCAAGTGTTCCTTCATGAAATCGATGGCCACCCCTTCCTGGAGCCAAAGAAGAGAAGAGAAGAAAAGAGCCAAGGGTTCTTTGGGCTTTTTGGGCTAACTGCAACCGATTTCCTGTAAACCGATGCATCGATTTTGGCAGGCCCCCAAAGGACGAGACCTCATGGATCATGAGGGTTGTTGCTAACTTCGTTGTTTCCCCGGAAATGGGAGAACTGCCCCACCTTCTCAGATGTAGGGACTGACCCCGGAAGGGCACCCACACCCTAGGGTTTGTTGCCTGGCCTACCAGAAACATTAGGAGTATCACCTCCGTTCGACGTTGAAATCGGAAAAACAATAAATGTTTGGATCTGAAATGCTAGAGCCCTGTAGGCATGAACAGTCTGTCCGACGACTCTTGTTCCACAAAGCATCCAGCCATCAAGAGGGGAACGATAAAACAGGTTGACACTGTAAGCACTCCATCAAGGATTAAAAACTATCACAAACACTCAAATCTTGAAGTTCTGGCTTTAGAACAAGTATGTTGGATCTGTCATATTATGATATCTCTTCGGACATTGGTGTTTTTCTCCGTATGCTCAACCACTGGTAGCCCACCACCACTAAGTTCTTTCGCGCGTTTGTTAAAAGTCAGTGGCTAAAGTGGCTAGTGAGTAGCTGCAACATGTCCTGTAGCTGCTTAACCCTCTTGCTGTTCACCCTCGTCGCGACTCGAACGAATGGACGGACTTCCACCGGATGGTCGAAGGTTGCACCTTCGAGTGCGGCGGCCTGGAAGGTTCAGCCGGCCTGGACCTATATGGCACAGCATGAAGTCCCAGATCTCCCAGAAAGTTCATTAACCCAAACCGGCGAAGCAAGCGATCATCGATCATCTACGCCTCCAGGTCGACCTACACGTTCCGTGTGTGACACTCACAAACACCTGATCGCCTGGTCCATGGTACCTCCGAGAGGCTCAGATTTCTTGTCCAAACCAACAGGCAGTTCAGCCAGTCTGGGCCCCCAGTGCAAAGACAGTAGGACCAAAGGCAGTAGAACACTATAGTTTGGACCTCTATATAATTGTTTTTGATGGATGATCAAACACAACAAGAACGTTTATAGTGAGATGAACATCACACCACATATCGGAACGCCGTCCTCGTCCTCACGTTTCACTTCTGAGACCACCTGAGCGGAGCATGTGCAGTGGACCGTCACTTTGCAGCTTTCCAGGTGAGACAATTGTCTATCCGTATATGAAGATTTGGCCAACACATACCCAGTGAATGATCTAATCCGATTAATTACATCCAATTACCACTTTAATAACCAGCGGTTCCAAAGGCTAGGTCACCGTAGACCTGGTTCCTCCCTGGTTCGGAATAGTGGTCACCCGGATCCTTTGGGACGAGTGAGGCGAATTTAGACAAGTTACGACCCGAACCATCCTGGAGACGCATGTTCTGCTTGCCAATGGTGCAAGTAAACCATTGCCTGGTTGGTGGTTTCAACTCACCTGACAAATCTGAGTCAGTGGGTGACAAAATCATCCCAAATAAAGGTTCAACATGGTTCAATACCTGAAACCACCACAAAAAGAAGTTGCTAGACTCCCGCATCGGGCGTGCACGCCCTCTTAGACTCCCCGCGGGCGTGCGCTCTCGACTGCACCACAATGCTTAAAACCTCCCGCCTCACACACGATGCCAATGAGCATATTCATCACCTGTGGGTCGACTGGGTCGGGTTCCAAAAGGTCGGCGTTTCGTGGCATGCCGAGTGGCCGAGGTCCAGTCCGAACCCAAACGGTAGGGACGATGAAAGCTGCAGGAAGACATAGACATGCTTAGCCCTCCCAATCTGGGAGGATCGAATGGTGAAAAAGAGTGTGAAAAAGACATAGGTGACATGGGATGAACAACTGCTTTTGAATCGGGATGTGAAGGAGGTCTTCAACTTGCAGGGTAAAAAAAGGTTCGTGGGGTACGAATTGAGTCTGTCTGAGTGTATAGCCTCAAACTCTCGTTCTTCCCCTTCGATATTGGCCTCTCAACCGCATTCTCAGTCACACTCCCTTTGTGAGATTCATTGGAACCCTTCAGGATCCTAGCCTCCTGCTTTAACTCTCTGTTTCTTCTCCACATCTGACCCGCCCCCCCGGAGTTTTTTGCCCAAGAAAATTGCTGGAGAAGTTCATACGAAGAACTCCACGCCGTTCCTACGAAGAACGTCGAAACCGAAACTCCAAGCTCCGCTGCTTGGAGCTTTGAAAGCGCCCCACGGACTCCGGCGGATGCACCGATCGTAAAAAGCGGACACCCACCTGATCTGATTGTGCCCTACCAGATCTACAGTGCTTTCAGAGTAGATGAAAGCAATCTCCAGGCAGGTGACCCCCATTGGATGCTGTATGGACACCCGGTCTGTTTGACATCTGGTTTGCACCATCGAAGCTCTGAAACCTCACCTGGACCCTTCGGGCTACCCCCCACCGACACCCAACGACGAAGACGACGACGACGTGTGGGGCGCCGTGATGTTGGTCAGTAAGACGTAGATGAGAAAGACGGAGATGGACACCCAGCCCTGCAACCTGCAGTCCAAGCAAAGAAGATGGGTCACAAGGTCACTGGAGGTGTGAGATGGGTCTCTGATGTCTGCAAACCAACAAAATCTTGCAGACATCAGAGACCCATCTCACACCTCCAGTGACCTTGTGATCCATGATTTGTACTGGGCTGATGCAAGAAATGTGCAACTGCAAAGTGTATCCCTGTTTCGATTCTCAAAGGCAATTTCAAGACAAACCGGTGACTGGATCTCCGCCTCTGAATGCGCCGGTCATGTTCACGCGAGAAAAAAGTAAAACCCTAGGGCTCCAAGTACCTTCTGAGAAGGTGTTTGGGGTGGGTTTAGCGGGTCCCAATACGTTCTGAGGAGGCACCTGGAGCCCTGCCCTAGGGGCAACAAACCACCTTCCCTACCAGCACTACGGATTTTAGGTGGTTCTTGGAGGAAAAGTACCTAGTCAGGGGGTGTCCATCAACCACCCGAACTCCGTGGTGTTTTACCCGAATCCGGTCCCTCAAATGGGTTTTTTTGAAGGTCAGAACCCCCTGCGAAGGTGTCGGGTCCATGGATTGTCTGGGTTGCACAGTGTCTTGCTGTCTTGCTGGTCGCTGGCACTTCAGACTCATTGCAGAAATGCTCTCTTTGAAGGCCCACCAACAAGGTTGAAGAACCCGAACTAGGCTATCCTATGGATCCCCCAGCCAGTAGGGTCCTATTTACGGTCACTTGACCTCTCTTGGCATACATCTGCGAAAGGGGCCACTAGCCAGACCGTGGCTGCGGCTGCGGCTGCGGCCCGTGCTTCAGGGGTCAACCCCCCCATGCAGCCCCTGTCACGACCACTGTTTGCGTGCTGCGCAGCCCATCGTTGTCCATAGTCCTGAGGGGCAAAGCGAGGGAGATGAGAAGAGCTGCCAAAGACTTTTGGAACATTACAAAAGACAGTTGGGGTAGTCCATGAATTAACAACATTGTCATTGTAATATAGTTACATGGCATAATGATGCGTTCATTTCGGTTTGAGGTGTGCTTGAAAGTCGGGCATCGAGACACTCTCTCTCTCTCTCTCTCTCTCTTTATTGTGTGAAACTATGGAACCCATTGCAACCCATGTCTTGTTGAGATCGGCAGTGGATCCGGCCCTCCAAGGACGGATGTTAAATTTTAAGAAATCATGACTCATGACCGTCATCGATATTCTGAATATACTCTTATATCATTATCACAAGATCAATTGCCGTACCCAAACGCTCCATAAGACTGGGTCAATTGATCGGCATATATGGCATACATGGAATGCCTGGGGCCGGGGTATATTTCAAAAACACAGCCTCCTTCTTTCAAACACACCACATGGAATGTCCAAATGCCATACCTTTCCTACGACCTGCGGGCGCCAGCCCTCCGTAAATTCGACCTGAATCGACCACAAGTGCAGGCTCCACCTGAGGATGGAGGACAAGAAACTACACTCCAAATGGCATTGAGTGAATAAACACATGCAGTACAAATGGTCTTGACTGCTCCACCCAGGAAAAAACATCGATAACAGTAATTCTCGAAAGTCATGTTTGCCTTCCAAATTTGTCTAGCTAAGAACCCCATCCATCCAAACCCCTACATTCAAGAACCCAGCTGACAATGGCTGTTCGGATAAAAACCATTAAACATGTTGTAGGAAGCCTAGGGCACAGGTTATTCTTGAGTTGCTTGCAGTCTCCCAGAATGATTAGAACAGTCTCCTAGAATGATTGGAACATCTTAGAAGCGGGCTCGGCTGAGCCATTGAATCGTTTCTGACCGCTTCCACCGTCTCCACCGGCCCCGGACTGCGGCCTAAGGGATCCGAGCACATCCCGAGTACCTGGGCTCAGCCACCCGGTTGGACGGATTTGGCGGAGGATGCCCTGTTTCCAAGCGAGAGAGGTGGAATTCAGTGACCTGATCGGACCCGGAATACCTGGAGTACCCACCTGGGAGAGTCGAACGTGAAGGAGTCCTTCAAGCTGTTGGAAGATGTGGAGTTCGAGTTTCAACCGGATTCCGCAAGTGCCTCAGATGGTAGTGCACTCCGCACTTCGACCTTGGAAGGTTCTTCAACGTGACCGAACTTGAAGGTTCCTAAGTGACCCAAACAAGAGGCTTGTTCGTGACCGAACCAACCAGGTTATCAAGTTCGGTCACTTTGAAGAACCAAGTGGGAGGTTTTTCTTTGGTGTTGGACTTTGATTATAAATGATAATACCCATGAGAGCCAAATGACTGCGCAGCAAACCTGCAAACTAATTAGGACACCAATGCTATCTTTGTAGTTGTGGGAAAGACTTGGGAGAAGAAACATCTCCTAACTGTAGCTGTGGACTCTTGTGTTGATGAGGCAGCTACCTCCCCCCTATCAGGAGACGATGAACACTTGGGAGAAGGACGGTCTTTCACATGTTCATTCTTTGACGAGGTGAAATATATCATCAATTGAATCAATGGTCAATACATGTTGTAAAAAACCTGGCCATCGGAAAAACAATAAACGAATATAACCTGGCGCTTAACCGCTGGAATAACCACCCACCACATCGGCCCGTCCAAGTGGCTGTCCATAAAGGTGCCATCCATGATCAAGGTATACATGCCTCGGTCCATCCGCATGTTTGTTGAACGGTATGAACATGCATAAAGGATGCCTCACAAGGTCTATGAGCTCCAACTGAAACCAAAACCGGCCCCTATTTAGGAGCTATGCAAATGCACCTTGCGGGCAAGACTTTCGGAACCTGTGTGATCTCTGCGGGTGCATCTCACAAGACCTCCCGAAAAGACTGCGGAGAAAACAACCTATCGAAAGGAATCCGCCACCTACTGACCCAAATATCTTCGGAAAGTTGTATCCAGGATGGTCATTTGGGATTAATAATTAGAGTGATCAGTTTGGGACCAGGAGTATCCCCTCAGTGGTCATCAACCAAGGGACGCAAGGCCATCTATCTCACTATACGTCGTATACACTAAATCAAACAAAGGTTGCATGCCCTGGCGTTTAATCTTCGTATCACTGTGCACCTGGACTGTGAGGATCCTAGGCCCTACCCTGGCAAAACAATATAAAACATGCAACACGTTGGACATACAAAACTATATAGTCTCAGATCTCGCAAACGCTGCGCCACTTTTGCTTTACTGTGCCCACAGTCATGCGTGTATGTAAATATTGAGTGATCACAAAGCAATCACAGCAGAGCCGCGCTTTTCAAGTAACCCTGCCGGCTTGTTTGGTATTGTTTGGTTTCATCAACCGGGGTTCAGCATCACCAGTCTTGGAGACGACCTTGGAGCTGCTGTCCTTTGGACCAGTCTGTTGGGCTTTCTGTCTTCTCTGCAATTCCTTTTTCAATTCTTCGTCTGTGAACAAGGCCAACACTTGCCGCTTGAACACCTGGTCTTGACCCTCTGGAATGGATCTTCGGCTGGTCCATCGCCCCAACGCTCCGAGCACTCGCGGAAAGTGGCCCCAGAGGCCCCAAAGGCACCAAAGGCCACCCGAAAGGCAAGACAAGCCGAGAAACCAGCTGGTTTGATGCAAGTTCCCAGCAAGGGCAAGGCACAAGTTCAAGACTTCCGCGCTTCGTCCGTACTCATGCGCCAAGGAAAGAATTGACATCATCAGAAGCTTGAAATGATCACCCTTGACGAGCAAAACCACAAGCACCAGGTTTCGGATGGCAATCTGGAATGCGTCCACATCAATGTCTTGGAGCTTCTTCAAAAGGAATTCCATCCTGAGTGGCCAGCCCTAAAGTTGCAAGTTCAGTTGCTCCAAGGCTAATGGTTTAAACAAGTGGTCCTCTCGTGCTTCGAACGTAAAGAAAACAGACTAGACTTGGCCATGCACCACCGTCCAGGAACAAAGAGCGAAACGATCTGCACCACAATCTGCCGAAGCTCCGTGTGCTTGCTTGAGTTGCAAAACAAAAACGAAGGGTAGTGCAAGGTCCTGAACAAACACATAGGGCACTTTTCACCCCAGTTATATACATATATATCCCCCGAATTAACGTTAAAATGTTGAAGTTCCACCGGTTCATACTTGAGAAAATCACACACAGCTTATATACAAAGGGAAACCAGGAGAGCGACGGATTGTGCAACACACTGGCCGGAACCATTTCCAAACATGTATGAGCAATGGTCATGCCATAAGAAAATGAGTCCTGACAAAAAGTCACACTCCCTCCCTCCTCCCTCTTTCCCTCTCTCTCTCACACTCTCTCTCTCTCCTCTCAATTTGTCTGCCTGCCTCCGCCACACGGCGCACACCTTCAACATCGTCTTGCTTAAAGCATCAAACAAAACAAGAGCCCGAATCTGCATTCACCCATTGCGATCAAAAAGATGTGTGGATTGCCAAGAATTCTCAGGTTCCTTCAACCAACGCACGTCATGAAGAAATCTCTCAAGAAGTTCCTGCCGAGAAAAATTGCCCAGTGCAGCACCTTGCGCAGGGTGCTTCATCTGGCACTGTGGAAAAGTGAACCATGCAACCAATTACCTGGACCCTCCAAAAGTGAACCATGCAACCAATTACCTGGACCCTCCAAAGCACACTGCCTTAGGACATGGGACGTGACCTGGCAAAAAATATAAAAGGGTATACTTGCACACATATTCCGATGTACGAACTGGCACTCCAGGCCACCTCCGACCCGCCCCTTTGCAGCTTAAGTCCCAAGCTTATGGTGCAAAAAAGCATGCAAAAACTATGCTGCAAACATACTTCTAAGAGCCTGTTGCGTTTACTCCTTGAAGAAGTTCTTTGGCCATATCTCCTACCATTGAGCTGGAATTCGTTGACAAAGGCAGTCCAAACACATACCGGACTTTCTCGCGCAGCTCGGAGACTCCACATTCATGACATCTCCTGTTGTGCCGTGCCAGGATGCCACGCAGCTTCCACATCTGGGACTGGATCTTGGGGTCGCGTCGCCCAAATCACAGCATCCTTCACAGCACTTCCCATTTCTCCGGCCATGCTGGGCCCAGGTCTTGCGGTACGGGGGCACCCCAACAAAAATGCGGCCTTTTCTTCAAGTTCATGTCGCGAATCGACATTTGCTGCTGTGCCACGGCTTCGAAGTATGATATCGTGTAGTTCATCGTCTGTCTTGGCACCTTAGCTCCAAACTCTGGTGGTTTCAGCAACATCTAGGAACATCTGTAGGAGTAGGAACCACTCAGTTGGATTGTAGCTATCGAGATGAAACCAATGCGTATAGTAACAACTTGGCGGCTTCCTCCTGCAGCCTCGGCCGTAGTCTGTGGTTCAAGTTCATGGATAGACTCACTAGACTGGCCATTTCACAAGCTCCCAAGCACCAATTGCCCCCTGTAAGGAGTAGTTTGTTGAATTGATGGACGTCAACGGCACTCTGCAGTCAACGCGGTTTCTGATCGCGACTCGTCCAGCTGAGTAACTCAAATTCGGGCACGAGACATGGGCATCCGAACTGATTGCAGTCGCAGTGAAGATGAGCACCAGAGCTGCCAGCAGCATGGCGCAACGATTCTGTGTTTGACGCAAGTGTGGAACCAAATTCCCTGACATGTGTCTCTACTCTCTCTCTCTCTCTCTCTCTCTCTTTCTTCTCTCTTCTAGATGATGGTT